CTATTACATTACTATTATAGGGTGTGTGCACTACCACCAACATAGAGTGCATTAGAAGATTATAAGAATGACATCTTATTAATAAAATTATCCACAACAGAAAGTAATGAAACAACAAAATTGCATCTTCAGCCATGTTTTTTCATCTCCAATAACCACACATAAATCACGAACCCAAATAGATTTTAACATATTGCATCTTCACAAGAGTTTTTTTATTAATCTAACCCAAAGACATGAAACACTACTAAGGGGGTGTATTTAACTTGAATTTTAAAAGGTTTTGATATATTCTGTATAATCTATATATGGGTTATCACAAATCCATGGAATGTTTTATTTCAATATGGATTTGCTCTAACATCAATAATTAATTACAAAAATAGCTTTAAAATAACAAAAAATTATAACATAAATATAAAAATAATTTTGGCTTGATAGTAGGTTCCTTTGATGCATCACTTGTTCTTTCAGGTATTTTATCAAACACCTTTGGTGCAAACTAAACTTCATCTTCTTCAAAGAAAACCTTGTTCATTTTCACACCTCAAAACAATTCAAGACTCAAGAGCAATTAAAGAGCAGCAGAAAATAAAGATTGAACATACCTTATTGATATTGAAAATCCATTTGAGATGTTCTTTGACAACGTCAATACGAATGATGATGGATGCTCGGATATTCTTGGAATGAACACGGAGTGCAAGCATTAAATCTCCCATGCCTGAAGATGGAAAACGGTAAAAAACATGAACGGAGATTGTGGACTGATTTTAGGGAGAAGAAGAATAGACGAGGCATTATCGATAAGCGGCTGGAAATTTCTGAATTGCCCTTACGAGAAATTGGAAGGAGTATTCAGCCAGATCAAGATCGGACGATTATTATTCATTCTTATTTCTTTCATTAGATCTCATTCTTATTTGAACCAAATTCTATATATATATATATATATATATATATATATATATATATATATATATATATATATATATATATATATATGTGGTTCCCCCCTGTAGAGATGGTCACAGGGTTGATTGGTGAACCACACCACCCGGGTTCGAACCTTAGAAGGGGCAACTTTGGAGGAATTTTAAGAGAGTTAAGCGTGCTGATCATGGAGTAGCAGAAATGATGGGTGTCCCCCCGGGAAGTGTTTGCAGATTTATGGGGTTGGGCTTTAGATTGGGTTATTTATAGTGGGCTATCTGCCTCGGGTGTTTAACGGGCCCTGGGGCGGTCACGAGGTTAACAGGTCTCGGGCCCCCTGCTTGTAATCGACTGGTTCTATATATATCAGAAAAAAGAAAGAAAAAAATTACAAAATTGAATGAACTAATGGTTCTATATGTTCTTTATTTGATTTGGATGAATTGATTTGAATTTATGATATATATATCATATAAAAAGACTGAGAACTAAAAAGAACAAAAAAATTGAAAACTGAAAAATTAACGAATTGATATGAATTTATGATATACATAAAAAAACTGAAAATTGAAAAGGAAAAGAAAAAAAATCAGAAAAATTGACGAATTGATATGAATTTATGATATATGAATTTATTTCCTTGCTTTTCCATATTTGATTTTTCTAAGTAGTACAATTTACTTCTGAATATAAGAGGGTTCCACTGGTTCAATGGGATGAGGTCTATCAAATGAAGAAATATGGTGGACTGGGGATCAAAAATTTGATGAAATGGAATATTGCAGGAAAAAAAGATATTCTCTGGGTAAAATTGATCCATGCAAGGTACATCAAGGGTTGTGATTTCTGGGATTACAGGCCAAAGATTGATTCATGCCATTATTGGAAAGAAATGATGAGGGTTAGAAATAAATTTGCTGATATGCCAGAAGGGGAATATAATGTTAGAAATGGGTACAGATGGTTACAAGATGATAAAAGTAAGCCAATTTGGAGAGATTGGGTGTGGAATAACCTCACACCACCTAAGGTCAGATTTGTACTATGGCTTTTCTGGAGGGGAAGACTAGAAACTAAGGACAGAATTGGCAAATTCTTGAACATAGATGATAAGTGTGAGCTGTGTGAAAAAGAGGCAGAAAGTTTGCAGCATTTGTTCTGGGATTGTGAAGCTGTACAACCTGTGTACAAAGCTGTAATAGGGGAATTCCATCTTCACATGGCTGCCAGCTCTAAGGAGAATTTTGGGAAGGAAATCCAGAAAATATGCATATACCATATTTGGAAATGGAGGAATGGGAAAAGACACCAAATCAAGATAAAGGAAGAGGAGATTAGCAGGAAAACAATACAATATATTAGAAGTTATCTTAGTTATATGAAAGTGATGTAATACATTTAGAGATATGGGTAGCTATTCATATTTCATTGTATCTCTGTTGGACATTTGACTATTAGTAATGAAGTGTGTGTTTTCTGTGCAAAAAAAGTAGTAGAATTTAAAAATTTTGATTTTATTTCAGAAATAATTCAATAGCTATGGCCCCTAATCATCTATCTGGTAGTCAAAAACGTAAAAAGAGAAAATGAGATGAAGAAATGAGAAAGTCTCAAGCAAGAGCTCTATATAAGCTTATGAAGCCTGTTGTTGAAGGCGAAGAAGTAAAAGTAATAGAAACGGAAGAGCAAGAGCATCTACAAATAGAGCAAGAACATGTTGAAGAGCATGAACATATAGAAGAAGAGGAAGATTTAGAAAAGGCAAAAGATCATCTTGACCCTATGGTTAGTGTTGTGCATATTGTTATCGATATATTTGATCCAAGAAGGTGGGAAGGACCTAATTATGAAGAGATTAAACTTTTGATTGAGAAAGGTCTAAAAAGAGATAGTAGTATTCAGTATGGTCCGTACGACAAAGATGGACAAAATGGTAGATGCTTCTTTGCAACATTATATATAAGAACTTTATCAAATATGGAGAAGTGTGATAAAGAATGGCTTGTATATATTTGAAAGAACTAGACAAGATATTTTGTTTTTGCTGCAAAGTGTTTAACTGAAATTCCATAAAGGAAAATTAGATGGTGAAGGTTATGCAGATTGGAACCATGCTCATAAAAGAGTAAAGAACACAAACTTTCCATGGATCATCTCTCCAATGTGAATAAATGTCTTGATATGAGTAAAAGATTGAAGTCGAATGAAATAATGGATAAAGTTCAGCACGAGCAATTCAAGAAAGAGAGAGATTACTAAAAACAAGTTATTTTTAGAATCATAGCATTAGTGAAGTTTTTGGTTAAACATAATTTAGCATTCCGTGGCTCAAAAGAAAGATTGTATAAAAAGGTAATGAGTTAAAACTGTTTTACTTTTAAATGTTTCATTTCCAAAAAATGTCATGTTTCTTTATTGTGTTTACTTTTTAATAGGTAATGGACATTTCTTGGGTCTCATTGAGATGTTACAAGGGTTTGATCCATTTATTCAAGATCATGTGTGACGAATCACAAATTTTGAGCTTCATGTGCATTATCTCGGGCACAAGATCCAGAACGGACTAATACTTGATTTAGCCCAAGATATTTAAAGGAAATCATCAATAAGATAGAGGAAGCCAAGTACTACTCAATCAGACTTGATTGCACCCCTGATACAAGTCACTAAGAGCAAATGAGTATGATAGGTATTTAAACTTCTCAAGTAATTCTTTTATTGTGGAAGAGTCCTTTTTAGGGTTCTTGAATGTTAATGATACCACTAGAAAAGGACACTTTGATGTTACAATTGAGGAGTTAAAGTCTATTGGTCTTGAAATTGATTATATGTCAGGGTTATGATAATGGGGAAAATATGAAAGGAAAACACCAAGGAGTCCAAAAGAGACTTTTGGACGTTATTCCGAGAGCATTTTACACTTCGTGTGGTTGTCATTCTCTTAATCTTACATTATGTGATGTGGCTCACAGTTGTGTTAAATGGAGGAACTTTTTTGGACCCATCCAAAAAAATTATACTACCTTTGCACATTCAATTTATCGGTGACAAATTATGAAAGATAATGTTAAAGGTTGGAGTCTTAACAACCTGCAACAGCTAAATCTGACTCAGCCTGTTGACAAGAAATCACTGATGATTCATCTTCCATATCTTCGCATTCCTGTTAGACAAATCCCCTGGAGTATCAACACTGGATTCCTCCATAAGTTTTTGTTGCTCAGCCACAGATTGATATTGTTTCTTCATAACAACTCTCTGATCTCGAGCGATGGGATCACTTCGAGCTGGTTGTTCTAAGTCATCCTTGAAGATGGCCAAACGCTTAGCTTTGGCATCTAGTTCTCTAAAATGAATGCAGTGGAAAAGGTTAGAAATACAGAATCTGTGACATACATTTTGAAGGCAAATAGTTGCTTATGTTTGACATCATACCGTTCATTGTCATCTTGAACAGCAGAGCAGTCGTCCTGAAGTGCATGATCAGATGTGTGTGCAAATGGTAATTTGGTCCTTTAAGAAACAGGAAAGCTCATAGACTCCATCAGCATTATTATGGACAGATGTAAGAGACTGTTGTTGAGTATGAGAACCAAGAGCATTAGAGGGAAAATTTTGCCTCAATTTGGGGGGAGAGCTGGAAGGCGGCCTAACATAAAAGTTGAAGAAAGATGCAACAGAGTCCATCAGAATGACAGTTTCCAGATTGTCCAAAAAATTAATAAAATGTCACTACAGCTGTAATCTACCTTTTGGAACTGTGAACCCCATAAACTGAATTACCTCCATTAGCGAGCAAATTGGGTGGCGACATGCTTCTCTTGGAGACTTGGTTTGTAGGCTTAGTAGGCATCTTTTCCCAAGACTTATATGTCTCTAAATAAGTAGATACAGCAGGAATTTTACTTTGAGCGAGTGGCATTGCAAAATTTCGTTCTCGTAATTGATTAGCTTCCAGAGAGGGAGAGGAAGACAGAGAGCGTCTGCGTGACAAATACAGATCAGATTTATGAAATAGAGCATGTAATAAGAAGAATTACTACATGAGAAATCCTACATCAAAATTTGGGTTCTTTGCTGCTGTTAAGCTGGTAAATCTTCCAGATATGGCCATCGAGCTACACCAACAAGAGGGATTCATTTATCAGTCTGACGGCTATTCTGAAAAACTATAAGGCTCTCTTTTCTTTGTTTGTTAGATTCTAGGGTCGGGTTCCGTCGACATTGGAATCCAGTGTCAACGGATGACATTCCCCCATTTTGGGGTACTTCCGGTTCTCCGTTTTCAAAATTGATAGGCTCTCTTTTCTTTACTGCCTAATGATATAGAACTCTCAATCTATTCACATTTTTTAAAATTTTATTATCATATGTTATCCCAAAATATATGTTTAATAACTTTAATGGATTTGATTTGTATTTAAAAGTATAAAAACGTGCTAAGAATATTTTAATGGATAAGTGAGACAGGTAAAGGATGGATAAAACTTGGCAGAGTGAGTTTTGGTGGATTAATAGGGTAGCGGGTGCGTAGTTTTTGACCTGTCAAAGCAGTGGACAGAGGTAAAAATATGACCCGTGGCAGGTGGCAACGTGGGTGGCGGGTCAAAAAATCCTAGGAAGGTATGATAGTGGGTAGACCTATAACCACCATCCTGCTCGAATGACATCCCTTCCCTAACCCCCACCCTCAACCCTACATCCTCAACCCTACTCCCACCCTCACCCTCCAAATGACGTTGCCACCTCTTGTCCCTGTTCATTATCGACAAGAGAAGGTCCCTCTCATTCGATGGGCCATCCTAGCATTTGCAAACTACACTCTCATTCACTGCCAATATAGATACTTCGAATGAATTCTGAGTGTCCAATGTCAACACAGTACACACACACACACACTTATATGTATGTATGCATAGTGAGGGTAATTAGAAGGCATTCCCTTGAAAACAAGTGTAAAGTTTGATTCAACTACAAACATTATTCATGGGAATTCATGCACAAGAAATACTATAGGACAACTCTTCACTGACACCAGGAACGAGATATTGCTACATACAGATAATAACAGAAATTTCACAAAGAAATATATAGTTTACCCTGTAGTGGCAGTTCTAGAATTCCATAAAATCTCTTCATCTACTTGCAATGAAGGAGGTGATCTTGTTCTTTCCAGATCCTGAACTTGGTAAATTCGATGTGAGGCACCAACTCCAGTGCCATTCAAAGGAAAGGGTGCCAATAATGGAGAAGATCCGGCATTAGTTGGAGCATCAAGGTCTTTGTAACGAGACTTTTGCCCATAAGTCAAATGAGGTTGGGATTCACTTCCTCTGAACAATATCATAAATGGTGCGCAATATGTAAGTTGTTACTTAGAGATGCTACTTCATATCCTTTAGTGCTGATACTATTTACATTTCAATAACTTGTATCCAGGGTGAATTTATAAGTAATAACATCATAAATCATTGGCAGATCATTGGCAGATCACTGTGACAGAGCGATTAACCCATTTACCCAACGACTCATCTGATTATTTTCAATGCCATGATTGTAACATGATAATAGACTTCTTTAAGAATGTAAAGATATATAGTTTCAAATAAGATATATTATTCTCAAATATATATAATCATTGGAGATATACAGCGCATGGACATATTTTAGTTCCTCAATTTGAAACTTGAAAGGAAACATTTGACATTGTAAACTAATTACTCTGTTTCGCCCTAAATTATCTTCCTATTTTTCTTTTTAAGTCCATCTCAAAATTATCGCTCATTTTGTTCTAAGGAAAGCATTATGAGGTTCATATTGTTACTCTCTTCAAAACAACTCTCAACCACACAATTTAATTTTTTTGATCTCCGTGCATAGTCAGAGTAGGCTTTTGCTTAGGGACGGTGGGAGTATTTAAGTAACAACACATACAACAAACAAACAAGATAGCTCAAAAGATTTACATAATTAATTTTAGTCAAGTCTTAAGCTCATTAGCTCTAATAAATGATAGAGCATCCATAAAATGAGCTGCCAATGAAATTCTGAATTTCTACCCTATGATCAGTACACGAGTTCGATATACTTTGATAGAAAATATGGTCAAATGGTCCATTTTAAGTATTTCCACACACACACACACACACACACAAACACCACCATTAAGCGCCCAACTCCTAAAACCCCTTACAAATGAAATTTGAAACAACTTTAGGCCCATAAAGTAGTAAAAACACTTGAAAAAACACAAGCTTACTTGGAAAAGTCAGGTGGTGGGGAGGGGGTGCGAGGAAAGCTTCCGGGCAAGTTTTGAGCCCTATGATGTCCGGTCGGACCTGAGTTCTTACCGAATCCAGCATTTCTTTCTTATCCAATCATAAACCAAGAGCCCCAACTTTCAATTTGTTGGAAAAATAACTAGTCGTACTACCAATAGGAAATAACCAGTTTCCTCTCTTTTGAACGTGTGATTCCCTTACTTTATTTAGCGGTGATGCAGGCCAGCAGAAGGGCTAGATTCAGAGTAGATGCAAAAAAATCTCGTCAATTGAAGAAGTAGAAGAGCATGAATATTGGATTTGATGGTTCTTCCATCACATCAGAAAATTTCTAGGCTGAAAAAATGACTCCTTCGGCGCACATGACATTGGATAGCCTTGAAGAGTGAAACTTATTGCAGCTCAAATGTAGCTCCCCAGAATCGAGGCCCAACAAAAAATCATTTTGAACGTCTAGCAATGGCGCACTCGAGTCGTGACTTCGAAGTGATATATGCCTCTATGTGCAATAGAACTAAGAGCAGCCTTAGGATTGACAGACACAACATAAATTCTTGATGTCCGTTTGAAAAGGAAGAACTGAGATGATATAGAACTGTGGTGGGGGCTTATATTCTAAACCCTAATCTGTGTAGCTTCTTCAGAAATGTGGTTTAAGCGCTAAGCTCAGACGAAGAGACAAAGAACAAAAAAATAGGGGAACGAAAGAATCTGCAACATCCGCATCTATGGTTAATTCACTTTTTTACTCCGGTACAGAAAACAAATGAGTTTTTTGAGCTATTAACCCTGAACTTTTCAAAAATTGCACGGATTCACCCCAAACTTTAAAAATTGCATTAGTGCTCCATGAACTTTTAAATATTGCATGAACGGACCCTCTGTCCTAGATTTGAGTGTGTTAATTACACGTTCATCAATATATGTGTTGGAACTTGATGAAGATATCATAGATTAATGAAGAGTTGATCGGTTGATGACGAGCATTATGTTCGGCCTTCAAGCTTGGTTACCGACGACTAAATAGAGAATTATTATCTAGATTTTAAAGATGTAAATGATGTTTGGTAATGACATATTGCAGAACTCACTAGTGATATAGAATCAACCAGACTCCTGCTGTAAAGCTATAGTTCTATAGACTAGAAGACTATTAGACATAGGTACGAAATGAGTTTCACAATTCGTTGTTCGTTGAACTATGTTCAACTAAATGAGTGTAACATAGTGAAACGTTTGAAACGAATCTATAGGTATGACCAACGGGAGTCGCTAGAAGAGGGGAGTTGCTCGAAGAGGGACTTCGTATCTCTCCCGTAGGTCGAATGAGTTGAACATATTTTAACGAATATGACTATAAATGAATATGTACTTGCACTAGATGAACATGTGATTAACGCACTCCCAAATCTGACACACACAGAAGGACCATTGGCGTGATGCGAGAAATTTCCAGCGCGTCGTTGGACACCAAAAACTCGCGATCAAAAAGATGACCAAAATGAAATGGGATGGTAAATGGGAAAAGTAAAGAGTGAGTGTAATGGTGAAGTAAGGATGTCATATTCACGGGGATAGTGTGATTGGTTAGGAGTTGAGTGCAAAGTGTAACTAAACACTAATATCGAATTGCAATATGTGAATCTCGATTTAAAGGAAGAGAGAAGATGAATGAAATGCAAGTGAGAGAAACTAAACAATGCAAGGCAAGGAGAAAAAGAAAGTAAACCTAGGTTAGGGATTTCATACTAACAATGCAATTGCCAATAAAATAGAGAAAAATGGAAAATAAAAAAGGAAGCGAGCAAATCACCGCGATTTCACTTCCCTAAAAATCAGAAAAAAATTCCCTTGATAAGAATGGTGCTCGTCTCAACTCTCAAGAGAACTACAAGCAAATCAAACAAGCTCCTCAAGTATCATCTACTTCCGTGGTAGGATTTGAGAGTAGAGACACGTGGCTTGAGGTCTAAATCCCGACTCCTCGGTGATTTAAAACAAATTCTCAAATACAAGCATGCCGTCATGGCCAACAACAACATACAAATCATAATAGAAAAAATCTCCCAAACATTCCTAAGCTAAAATCGCATGCTGCCACCTCCTGTCCCTGTTCATTATCTACAAGAGGCCCCTCTCATTCACTGGGACATCCTAGCATTTGCAAACTACACTCTCATTCATTGCCTATATAGATACTTCCAATGTCAACACACACACACACACAAACTTATATGCATGTATGTATGTATAGTGAGGTTAATTAGAAGGCATTCCCTTGAAAACAAGTGTAAAGTTTGATTAAACTAAAAAACAATATTCATGGGAATTCATGCACAATCAATACTATAGGACAACTCTTCATTGACACCAAGAATGAGATATTGTTACATAGAGATAATAACAGAAATTTCACAGAGAAATATATAGTTTACCCTGCAGTGGTGGTTCTAGAATTCCATACAATCTCTTCATCTACTTGCAATGAAGGAGGTGATCTTGTTCTTTTCACATCCTGAACTTGGTAAATTCGATGTGAGGTACCATGTACCAACTCCCGTGCCATTCAAAGGAAAGGGTGCCAATAATGAAGAAGATCCGGCATTAGTTGGGGCATCAAGGTCTTTGTAAAGAGACTTTTGCCCATAAGTCCAGTGAGGTTGGGATTCACTTCCTCGGAAAAAGAAAGAAGGGTTATCATAAATGGTGCGCAATATGTAAGTTGTTACTTAGAGATGCTACTTCAAATCCTTCAGTAGTGATACCATTTACATTTCAATAACTTGTATTCAGGGTGAATATATAAGTAATAACCTCATAAATCATTGGCAGATCACTGCCACACAGCGATTAACCCATTTACCCAAAGACTCATCTGATTATTTTCAATGCCATGATTGTAACACGACAAGTAGACTTCTTTAAGAATGTAAAGATGTATAGTTTCATAGATTATTATCTCTAGAAAGGTGGTAGAGAATCATGATAGCTTCTGCCAAAAGCTAATAGGAGGAATAGAATTGTATTAAGACTTAGGAGCATGACATAATTTTGACAAAGAAAAAACAATATTGCAAATAACATTAAATTACACTTAAGTCAGGAAGTGTGGGCATTCAACCATTTTCAAATGAGATCTATTATTCTCAAATATATATATATATATATATATATATATATATATATATATATATATATATATATAAAATCATTGGAGATATACAACGCATGGACATATTTTAGTTCCTCAATTTGAAACTTGAAAGGAAACATTTGACATTGTAAACTAATTACTATGTGTCTCTGTCTCTCCCTAAATTATCTTCATATTTCTCTTTTTAAGTCCGTCCCAAAATTATCGCTCATTTTCTTCTAAGGAAAGCATTATGAGGTTCATATTGTTTCTCTCTTCAAAACAACACTCAACCACACAATTTTATTTTTTTGATCTCCGTGCATATTCAAAGTAGGCTTTTATTTAGGGACAAAGGGAGCATTTAAGGAACATCACGTACAAACAAACATACAAGATAGCTCATAAGATTTACATAATTAATTTTCACTCAAGTCATAAGCCCATTAGCTCTAATAAATGATAGAGCATCCATAAAATGAGCTCCCAATTAAATTCTGAATTTCGACCCTATGATCAGTACACGAGTTCGATATACTTTGCTAGAAAATATGGTCAAATTGTCCATTTTAAGTATTTCCATACACACACAAGTTATCTCTTACTTCATGTTCATGGGCCTGGTTGGGAAAAGCGTTAGAGATTAGCGTTAGTGTTTTGAAAAGGCTATCTACAGACAGTGTTTAGCGTTAGCGTTTTTCAAAGTAATCTTCACTGTTAAAATTTCATCCAAAAGGCTAATGTTAATCTCTAACACTATTCTCAAATAGGCCCCATATCTACAAATATATATAGTTTCAAGAGTCCGGTGTGCATAATTATTATATGTAAATTGCTACACAAAGATTACATAATATGCAGATGTCATCACATTTTGTCTTGAGAAACACGGTGTAAATTGTTTTTCTTTGGCCAACTCGAAAAATTGACCCTAAGAAATATTCTCCCCGTCCATAAAATTTCTTTCCGTCTAACAACTATCTAAATACATCACTAGACATAGGGTTGACGTCAAATTATACTTTTAGCCTTTAAATTAACACCAACATGGCAAAAGACAAAAAAAGGACCATTTGTGAAATAGCACCCATAAAAGGACTACGGAGGTAATATTTGATAATAGAGGACTAACTATGGAAACCCCTTTA